GGTGTGGATTTAATTCAAAGAGGAAACTACACAGTGTTATATGTTAGACACCATACGTACCCCTTCCCACACCCCCTGCAAGGGATGTGTTATGTCTCAACGAGTCCCCAAGACTGCAGTGCCCTGCACTGGCATCGGGACACTTGTCCAATTTCTCAAGTGCTTGGCATGTTTTCTTCTTCTTCGCTTTATTCGATTCTTAAGAGTGACCTTCTCCACCCCATGCTTTTATTCCGCGCGTGTCAGCGGCAATTATAGTGTCGCGGCAAAGTCTGTCATCGACTGCTTCCAGCGAAATACCACAGACACACCGCGCCGCGCATCTCAATGTCACCGCCGCGTGTAAACTTGCTCCTGCAGCTGAGATCGTGCACTTGAAACAGGGACTGATCCATGCGTAGATACCCCACTAAAATAATTTTACATGATTTAAAAAAATATTTTGCATTTTTACGATCATCTTCACCAATCCACGGCTGCGTATCCCAATGGGGGACGTTTGACCATGCCTCAGGACGCTGGTCAGTGCGGGTCGGTGTAGAGGGGGGGTTGGGGCCCCAGAAGGGATTACAATTTCACTCGCCATGGATGTCAGCTGTGGGCCGGGAATCAAACTCAAGGTGGCTGCACGGTTTGATAGCGCAGTGTGCTAACCACTGCGCCACCGCTCCCTCCGCCACTAAAATAATTGGGAGAGATTGCAGCTCGAACAACATTGCACATTTCAAAAACCCATTGCATGTCTCCCACCCAACATGGGCACGATGTTTACTTCATGATACATTTCGTTCAGCGGAAACGATCCAAATTTGCTGACAACGATATCCAATCTCGCCTATCGATAAGAAAGTGGAAACGGATCGAGGCTGCGGCGTCTGTCGCTGCGCTACTGCTCGCGATCCCCTCCTTACCGGGGGGCCATGCACCCGTGTCCGCGTGCCAACCTGTGCGTGCGACAGTGAAGGGGGTGAGGAGGGTGAGGAGGTGGGGGGGGGAGACCCAGTTGACCAGTTTAACAACATCTCTCCGTGGCGATCGAGAGAAGCGACTCGCTGCCCGGCCACGCGTTGCGAAAACACGACGCAGCGCTGCATCCGTAAATAACAACTGACGTGATCCACCCACACCCCCTCCCCCCCATGCGCGTGTATTTATAGTCGCCGGCGTGCATCATCATCATCATTAGCGCGCCGGATTTCGGACCGCGGTGGTGCCATGGGATGGGATGGGGTGGTGGGGTTATTAAAAATTAACAATCAAAATCGATATTCTTTGCTTCTTTCGGTGAGGTCACGGAGATAGAAAAGAATTAAATAATAAATAATAGAAAATAAATAAAAAGCAAGAAACTCACGAACCTTCGATCGCAACACAAGCGGTCGTCATCAGGCGGAGAGAAAAACAATATTATGACAACCGCTGGTGCTGCGCTCGAAACGTCGTGAGTTTTTTGCTTTTTATTTATTTTCTATTATTTTTATTTGATTATTTTCTATCCCCGTGAGAATATGAATTCCTGCAGTCACGACATTTTTAAGTCAAAATTGTATTCAAAATCCATCCAAATGCGCGCTGCTTAACATCCGTGCCCGTGAAGACTGCACCGATTCCGGCGGGGGGGGGGGGGGGAATGAAAGAGCCCAGTGATAACCGACCGTTTTGATTGGCTGGCAACCTTTAGGCAAACAAGCGCTTATCGGGTTTTTATGAGTCATGGTGAAATAATAAACCGTGGTGACTCAGATGCCTTAAGACCTCGTGGGGTAAGTTCTTGCGCAAACGAAATTCTTTTGACAACAACGCACACCAAAAAAAAGCGCCTTTGTTGACCGGGAAAGCGTTGTACTAACAGTGCATGGTTCTTTTTTCTTTCCAGTTTTATTCTCGTTTTCATCTTTCATTGCAATGACAGGTGACTTCATGCTGGGCGCGGAAATTGCATTGGTGTTTGTCAGACGATGGGTGAGCTGTTTGCAGTCAGCGTGCAGAATGACCCCAGGAAAATGACGTCTTCTTCCCTTGCCACTTTGCGATCATCATTCCCTTAGTCGTTGGCATTTTGCAAATCTGTTTTTTTTTTTGTTCAGAGTCACCGAGTTCCTCCGCTGAAAGACGCACACACACTATTTGAATTACCCTTGTTTATTTACCTAAAAGTCGGTTGGTGGAAATTGATGGGACGGCTCAAACATTTCTATCACCCTTTCGAGAAACAATAAAACGTATCCCCGAGAAGAGAACGAAAATGTTTCGTCGAATAAATGCATTTATAATGCCGTGAGTGACGTTTTAATTGAAGATACATACAGTGAGGGAAAAAAGTATTTGATCCCCTGCTGATTTTGTACGTTTGCCCACTGACAAAGAAATGATCAGTCTATAATTTTAATGGTAGGTTTATTTGAACAGTGAGAGACAGAATAACAACAACAAAAATCCAGAAAAACGCATGTCAAAAATGTTATAAATTGATTTGCATTTTAATGAGGGAAATACGTATTTGACCCCTCTGCAAAACATGACTTAGTACTTGGTGGCAAACCCCTTGTTGGCAATCACAGAGGTCAGACGTTTCTTGTAGTTGGCCACCAGGTTTGCACACATCTCAAGAGGGATTTTGTCCCACTCCTCTTTGCTGATCTTTTAATTGAAGATACATATGTAGTGTCCGTAGAATAGAAGCAAATGTGTACCGGAAAAAATGACTTAATCGGCCGAGGAATGGAACGCTTCCGAAAGCACGACAACAGGGGAGATGGAGCCATGAAATCAGTTCCCGTGCCGCTGCTCGGTAGATTATTAAATTGCAGGACGGTGTCAGGTGATTGCAGCTTGGGGAAGGCTTTCATCAAGCAGTGGATCGACCATGACTGCTGATGATTACTTAATTCATGCTCACGCATTTTGATTGGAATACACCCACTAAAGGCTGCTTAACTTGTGTTGTTGTAAACTTGCTGCACTCACACCTGACTCACTTCATAACCACTCTCGTGTTTGAACCACGTGACGATCCGATCCTATGACGATTCACAGCCCCCCCCCCCGCCTCTTTGCCTCGTGCGTATTTTATTGTCGTTGTTGTTGTTGTTGTTTTACCAAACTCATTTGCGTCGTCGCTTACACGCTCCGCGCCTGCGTTCACACCGTTTCTCGCCCGTCAACCTCTGCCCCCAGATGCAGCGGCGTCAGATCATTGCGCGCTCGCGAGTAAATCCGCAACGCCGCCGTCCGCTTCGTGGGTCTCGGCCCCGTCGGTTCTTGGCTCCCGTGAGCGCGGCTGACGATGTCAATCGGAGCGCGTCGTCGTAGAGTAGCGCTTTGGTCGACGGCGGCCCCTACTGCAGTCCGGAGGCCATCAAGAGCTTCCTCCTAACCCCCACCCCCCTCACCTTGGCTCGCACGCCATCGCCACCACCCCGCTGTGCGTTTACAAGAGCGCCGATGATGTCACGAGAAAGAAGGGCCCAGTGGAAAACAAACCCCGCTTGAACAATCGGCTCTAAATATAGCAGCGAGATCAAGGGTTAAATGTGGTCAAGTTACCGATGTGTTTGCAACCGAGCGAGTGCAGCCTGCCGCAGGCACCGCTGCTGCTGTTGCTGCTGTTGCCATTGCAACCTTGAAGTCGGTCTGAGCGAGAGGTGGGAAAAAATGACAACAGCCTTTTGGCAACCTACGCAACAGCATTTCACTTTCTAAATGTGCGCACCTCTGATTAGCACGGTTGGTTACGTATGGCGCAAAAGACGTTCACCATATATACATAGACACATTGGCATCTAGACACAGAGGTATGTGACCAAATCACCCGGATTACAGCTGACCACATCAGATCCCAGAAGCCAAGCAGGTCTGTGCCTGGAGAGTGCTTCATAGGTGGGTGGCCACCGTCCATGAATCGGGTTTCTGTCGGGCTCCTGAGCAACGTCGTGGTGGGCAGTGTTGCAAAATAACGCATCGTTGTAGTGTACTTCCACGTTACCCCCTCCCCCCCTCGGCATTCGCCAACCTGCACTGACCAGCGTGGTGAAGGATGGTTAAATAACCCCCCCCCCCCCACAACTCCGAATAGCGTGGGTAGGCCCTCATCCATCCGTGGATTGACAGAGGCCCGTACGTGTAGAAGGAGACTCGCACCGCGGGTACTGTGTTGCGGCACGTGTGCGCACACACACACAACGAGAGACTGCGTGTGTGCATTTGGACACTGCAGTTAGCTATGGAGATGCAAGGAAGGCACGTGAGCGTTGGTGCTGATGCAACACATAGGTACACCTTGAAAGTATAAAGCCCCCTGGAGTCTGTGAACTTACAAATGAGTAACAGGTAATTAAAACATAATAACAGGGTTTATTTCAACTAAAATGTCACGCGGAGTAAGGAGATATCTCGATATTTAGGCCAAGTGGCTCTCAGAAAATGTGGACTCGTTTAAGGTGGAGTTGGCCTTTGCGAGGCTCCGGACAGGTTAATTTGCTTCTGATGTCGCGCAAAGCTCCAGGAATTGGATCAGGGTCACCGGGTTCATAGCTCAACATCGTTAACCCCTGCACCACCACACTGTATGTATGTTAACTTCTTTTGTACCATACGTAACGAACCATGCTAATCGGAGGTATACTTTGTTGAACACGCGCGCACACACACACACAAGGTAACAAAGGCACAGATCCACCGTGTAACCTTTAAAAACCATTGGGGCAAGTTGCCTCTGATGTCGAGCACCAATTAAGGCGGACGAGCGGGTTGTGTGGTCAGCAAAACACCCGGCCGCCTGTCTCCTCGGTGCTCATGTTTCCACTATGCACCAGCTACTAATTAAAGGCTGGGTCAACCTAGGGGAGACCCTTCTGAAACTTCTGTCATCACTCGCCAATGATGATAGCCGTGGATGAGAATCGAACTCGGGTCGCCGTATTTACAGCGTTGTGCGCTAACGCGCGTATTGAGCACGCGCACTCACTCCCAGAACCGTATGCTGTGCGCGCTGCTCTCTCGCAGGAGGCTTCTCTCTCCTGCCCCCGTGCTGCCCGGGGCTGTGTGAGGGCAGGCCGGGCGGGGGAGGCATGCTGCCTGGCTCCATCTCCCAGCCGTGCCTGCCTGCAGCCGACCCAGGCCCCACGTGCATCCTCCCGCACCTCTACCTGGGGTCGCAGGCCGACGTGCTCGACAAGGTGAGGGCAGCGGCGGCGGGAGCAGCAGCAACCACATTCGCTGGCACGTGTCGCGAGGGGTTTGGCACGCGTCGTGACGGTTACTGCAAGATCCGACCGTGTCCATCACGTGAACTTCGGTCATCCTCGCAGCCGTGGCTTTTGGCTAGCCATCGAACAAAGACGGTGACCGCATCGCGCGCTTTCAGATGTGATTCTGCGGCCATCTGATCTGGAATGCTCTTCCTTCTGATATTAGGAAGCCACTGGAGCTATGCACTTCTAAATCTCGATTGACAACTAATTTCTTTAGAACAATTTTTCGTGTTTAGTTTGTTGTCCTTCCCCCACACCTCCATATTAGTGTGGTTGGCTACGTACGGTGCGAAAGAAGTTCATAGCAGGGTGACGTTATTAGCGAGCACCTGTTAAGGCTGGCGAGGAGACGCGCGAGAGAGTGATCACGCCCAGCCGAACCGTCTCCGCAGAGTTCACAGTATCACACCAGGGGGAAGCCAGGGGCAGGTTCATTCCACAGGTTCATGACACATCTACTCCGAAGGACACTTTAAGTGTTCGTAATTATGCACAGTCATCAATGATCAGTGGTGGGGAATTGAACTCTCAACCCTGTGCAAAGTGGCTCGGTAGCGAGCGTACTGAACGCCAGGCTTCCCAGTAGGCACATAAAGATAACCTCGCGGTGAATGCAGCGTCTATTGACTCGGTGGCTTTGCGTCATCCACTGAAGCACAACGTACAAACACACACTTGATTACTGCTCGATGCACATGTGCCGCAAGCGTAGGATTTGATTTCATCCAATGAAATGCGGCATCGTTAGGAGCCTACTACCCAGCTACTGTAAGCGTCGCACTAAGTGCGCTCTGGCCAAAGAAAACTAATTTGCCAGGCGCCTGCGCCCACAATGTACATCCCTGAACAAAGCCGGGAGCTGGAAACACAATGGGTGGCCAGCAATACGGGAAACAAACGCGCAGGCACACGGCACATGGCACCGCCGCACACGTACTGCGAGTGCGTGCTTACAGGCGCAGGCTCACGCGCGCGCAAGCACGCACGCACGCATCCACAATCGTGAGTGCCACTCGGTAAGCCAGATGGGAAGACATTCAACGGCTAGCATAATGAATGTGAGCAGGAAATAACAGAAACAAATTCTCCGATGAGATCAGCATTACCCTCTCTGGGTGACACAGTGTGACAATTCAGCGCTGCACAATTCCCTTGCAACACAATACGGGGGTCCCGCCAACAATGCCGCAACAAGACAAACAGACGCTAGTGAGCCGCATGATGTAATTTCACGTAATTCCACGTTAGATTAGGCGTAGCGCCACCCACGCAGACCGGCCTATTGCTGCCTGCAAACACTATATGGGCCGGGTAGCACAAAAAACTCACTCAGATAACTTAGTACACAGCCTTTAACACGTGAATATAGATATTAATGAAGTTATCCATTTGATTTAAGCCGTCAGACATATACTGGTGACAATTGTGTTCATCAAACATTCAGAGAAATTGCCCGAACGTTTGGTAGTTAAGTCTCTATTTTGGTAGTTAAGCAAAATATGAGATAGGGCATGAATTCTGGTAAATGTAACATCTGTCAGTGCAGCTAAACCAGTTTTATTCTGGAGGTTCACAAAACATACACACGAGCATACGTGTGTACAACAACAGCCACCATTCACCACTAAATAAGAGTAAAATCACCACAGCACTTGTGCCAGGCTAGTTGCACTTAGAGGCCACGTGACGAGTCGAAGATTCGCTGGCAGCAGGCCACGTGGCAATATGAACCACCCACGCTTACAACTCGCTGCGTTTTAGTCACCCGGCTTGAGCCTTGCTTCTCTGCCCTTCTTTGATGTTGAAGCGCAACTGCCTCCAACTGCCCAGGAGCATCCTTTACCGTGCCTCCTCCACTTGCACGCGTACATATGTATAGACGTGCGTGCCCATATAAACACACAGAGCTCGTACAATGGCAATGCAAATTGGTACATTGTTTTGAATGTTGAGAGGGAGGGCCCCCATTTGATTTGGTTGCATAACTCCGTTGGGGTCATACTCGCAGGTCAACAAAACCTGGAACACCATGCGGCCCAGTGGAGCTCGTGGAAGCCAAACTAAATAATCCTTGCGAACAAAGCTCTTGAACATAATACGTATAAACATACACGTGCCTGTCAATCGATGCGGCTAATGCACCTCGACGAACTGCATTGCTCAGGGGCTGAGTGTTCACATCCCGTACAAGGGCGCCAATGCGTGCAGCAGGCAGTCAGCCTATCTGTGCACATGACATCACCATGACTGCAGCATTGAGTCATTCGCAACAATACCCATCTGTGGGCGTGGGCGCTCTTGATGTGCAGCGATGTCACTACAGTTGGCACACTACGCTACGAACCTAGCGACCTGAGTTAGATCACCCCCCCCCCCCCACGGTGACTTGCAATATCTGAACCTGATTCTGGAACACCCCTTCACAAGTGCACACCATGGTGGTGAAGTACGGTCGAACAACCTCCTCGACCGATGTGGCGCGGAGAGGCCTCCCTTGTCCCGCGGTGGATTGACAAAGAGCTGAACATTGGATTCTTGAATCTATCTGTGCGGGGCGCTGAGTGTTATCTCCTCGTACGCGTGGAGTTTATTCAAAGGGGTTTCCCTCCCTTTGGTTTCTGCCCTCGAGCGACGCACTCTAACGTGGAAACGTGGAATTGGGCAATTATCCCAATGCAGGGACCTCTTGCAAAAGATTCTTGAAAACTCAGTCAGGGTTTTGTGGATAAAGGGTATTTTTTGTTGTTGTTATACAACACAAATTATTATTCGGTGACCAATAAGGGGTGTAAATTGACCGCCCCCAAACTTAACGATTCAACGAATTATCACTATTCACGGTCTCAGTTTAATGACGTAATTTATAATTTTTACGTCGTGGTGAAGGCAGTGACGTGAACCCATTAAATCCATACATGATTAGATGCACGTGCTCAGAGCCAAATAAACGATATTAATCAATGAATTGTTAGACCCACAGTGAACACGTATACACACACACACAAGTGGGAATTAATTATCCTGTACAGCACTTAAATATTAATTATTTACTAAATCTACTGTGCACATGTTGACGCACGGCCATTTGTCATTTCACTGCTGGATGAGGGCCTCCCCAATGTCGTACAGGGGCATGGACTTTATTTGACCATACTTCAGTCCCGCTGGTCAGTGCGAGTTACTGCAGCTCGTATGTGTGTAATATCACAGCAAGAGAAACTGTTTTACTTATTAAACCTCCCATTAAACACACACACGCGCAGACTATACGGCGCACAATGTGCGCATTACATATGCACGCATTACTGGCGGCCGTGCGACGCATAAATAAATGAGCAGGCGGCCGTCCACCGAGCGAGCGAATGAATGAATGAACAGCGGGTGTGGTGTGCCTGCCACAGGGGCTGATGAGTCACAACGGCATCACGCACGTGCTCAACGCCAGCAACACGTGCCCGCGGCCAGACTTTGTTCCCGAGAGCTGCTTCCTGCGAGTTCCCGTCAACGACAGCTACTGCGAGAAGATCCTGCCCTGGCTCGACCGCTCCGTCGACTTCATCGGTAAGGCCTAAGCTAAGCTACAAAGCTGGGGGGGGGGGGGGGGGGTTTGTTCTACCAGTTAAGGCCCGGCTGAACTGTACAGCTATTTTTCAGAAGCGACCCTGGCCACAAACGAGAGCTCATCGAAGTGGCTTATGACGTAGAAATGTATAGTGGCCAAATACTCTAAAAAGCATGCTGATTCTAAATGTGGAGGGGGAGAAACAGCGGAGGACCCGGAGAAAAATCCGCACGACCACAGGGAAAACACGCAAACTCTAAATATACAGGCATGAGGCTCAGGATTGGAATCGAACCCATGAACTCCTGTATACCAGGCGAGGTAGTTAACCCATGGTGGTGACTGCTCCACCTCCAGCAAATAAACAAGCTGGGGGGGGGGGGGAGGGGAGAAAATAATCGTTCCTACGTATAGACTATGCAGCACATGCCAGCACGTGTTTGTGTCATCTACAGAGGTGTTACGTATCCAACGGAAGCCTTCAGGGCAAAAAAACAAGATCGCATATTTGCAAGTCGTTCTTTTTTGCTCTGCGTTTGTGTCTTTAAGTTGTGGACGATGCTTTGATCTATTTGGCCGGTTTCCAACAGGGAAATTCCCGAATATGGACATTGAGGGTCCGGCGACGTCGTTATTTGAAAAAAAGAACAGGCTATGTGTGCCGGCGTCACCAATCGCCAATTACCTTATTGGTATAAAACCGACACGGCGACATTGCCCCCATGAAACGACTGCGCACTCTACTCGTCTGTGAAACATAGTTCCTTCGTGATTGTGCAATGAGAATGATGCGAGTACCGAGCGTGCCCGTGACTCGGTTTGATCCGCTGGCTCTTGTCCCGGCAGAGCAAGTGAAGGTGTCAGGACGCCCGAGTCTTGGTTCACTGCCTCGCCGGGATCTCGCGCTCCGCCACCGTCGCCATCGCCTACGTCATGAAGAGCCTGGGCCTGGGCTCTGACGAGGCCTACAGGTGAGAGTGCCGGTCGCCCCACACACCCAGCCACCCAGCTGCCTAGTCACCCACCAAACCACCCACCCACACACCCACCCACCCATCAACCCACGTAGTCACCCACCCACCCAGCCAACCACTCACCCAGCCACCCAGTCACCCACCAAACCACCCACACACACACACACCCACGCATCTAGCTACCTCGTCACCCACCCATCCAGCCACCTCGTCACCCACCCATCCAGCCACCTCGTCACCCACCCACCCATCCAGCCACGTAGTCACCCACCCACCCATCCACCCAGCCAACCACTCACCCAGCCACCTATTCACCCACCAAACCACCCAGACACCCACCCACCCATCCAGCCACCTCGTCACCCACCCACCCATCCAGCCACCTCGTCACCCACCCACCCATCCACCCAGCCAACCACTCACCCAGCCACCTAGTCACCCACCAAACCACCCACCCCCACACACACCCACCCACCCATCCAGCCACCTCGTCACCCACCCATCCATCCACCTAGCCACCCACTCACCCATCCATGACCGGTACAGGCCCCACAAAATATAGTGTCTCAACATCAGCAGCTGCGGCGGTGGGGGCAACGCACGTTGCATTGAAAGAACAAACAGGTAGCCGTTATCTTGCAGATACGTGCAAAGGGCCGTGTGTTACTGGGTGTCCGTCACGAGTACGAAGCTACGTTAGTGAGAAATTGTCATAATCTACTACTTGATGTCACGTCTCACATGAGCATAAAACGAGTGCCAACGTGCCAAGATGTTAATGTGACTGTCAGACGCGAACTGGTTTAGAAATGCGCTTGCAGGGTTGTCGCTAGACTGTAAGAACATCACTTTCTAAGTCGTCTTTTTCTCTCACTAACAAAGCCCGGAGCTCAAGCCAGACAAACCGTGCAGCATGGCAGTCGTGTGCAGCCACAAGTGTCAATTTAGGTTGTCAGTTCTGTCTCCCTGAAGATAGATTTTCAAAGAGATCGGCTAAAACTACCAAGCAGGGCTTTTCCGTCCAAGAGTCATGATCACTGTGATGATTACGTTAGCTTAGAAATGTATTAGTAACCGACAAACTGCTACGTCTGGGAATCCACACTTGGGGTGCGAGGTTTATTTTCGGAATCGTTCGCACTTTCCCGTGCGGACCTCCTCCACAAGGAACAACTCGTGCAGCTTTGCTCCTTCAAAAAAAAAAAAATTCCCCGCGCCTTACAAGCGACAGTCACTGTTCACACCCGGCCCGCCACTCGATGCTCACAGCCGCGCACGGCACAGCAGCCGTGAGCAAATCCTCACACATGTGGCGCATTAAAACGGCCGGGTGTGTGTGTTTTTTTTTTGGTTGTAGCCAGGGTTACCTAGCAGTGGAAACACCCCTCACACTTTCCACACGGCTGAAGCAATTCGGCATTTCTCCCTACGCACTGACGCCCCGATATCTGATCAATGGCCCGCGAACGACGCAAAACGTTTGTCGTCGGCTCGGTCCAATATCTCGCGCATTTTTTTTTTCCCACCGCTGCAACCGTCGCAGTAAATTAAAGAGCGGCCGTCTTCACGTATGAATTTGGCCAAACAGCCCAATGCACGACGCACGTCAGAGCGGGTAATGTGCACCGGCTCAAAAATGTCTCGCGTTGGTGTGTTGATTTTCTTGACCCAAAAACCTTCATTATGAATTTCATGATGAAGTTCAATCTTTCGAAGACACTTCATAGGTGGTGTTCTTGTTTGCCTCTATACTTCACAATTTCGATCCCGATCCACCTTTTTTTAAGTGCCTTAGGAATACATACCCTGATGTGTTTTCCAGTTTTTCACCTTAAACAGAGATCTCCAAACATTGTACTTGATTAGCATGCCCGTTTGCTGATCTTTATCTTGAGCCTGACTTTGCAGGCGATTTTGAAAGATCTTATACATTTCCCACGGTTTATGCCCATGACATTATAATTAGTTTGTTGCCAGACATAATATGCTGTTGTATTTGCCCCATTGTGTCCGTCCAACAATTTTTGACTTTCGTTTAGCAAACCGGATAAGTGCAGGACTATGATCGTGTTAAAATCTCAACGCATTCGTCAATAACACTGACAAATAATGTAAGTAGTCAAGAAATGTGCATCCGGGCTCTGGAGACCACCTCGAGAAGATTCCAGGCAATGCGTTGACAATGATGGCAAACAAGTGGAGACTCTTTGACTTTTTGAAGCTATCAATATACATTTATTATCATGTTACAGTGCATTACCCATTCTTTCTCCATTAAAAAACGATTGCCCCATATAAGTGTTAACATTAATTTGAAGCACCCTGTATTGATTCCCGACGCTGCGTGACTCTTCGCAGGTTCGTGAAGGAGAAGAGGCCGTCCATTTCTCCAAACTTCAACTTCCTGGGGCAGCTGCTGGAGTACGAGAAACTGCTCAGGGCACAGAAGGGGATCCCTCCCGCCCCCAAGAAACCGAACTCGGAGGCCCCCGTCCCGGAACCGATGACGGAACCGGCGTCCGAGCGGACGCGGCCGTCTGCCTCTCCCGCGGCGGCCGAGGGGTCGCTCGCCACGCAGTCGCTGCAGCAGTGCATCAGCCGCCTGCGCCTCTCCCCCGAGCGACACGGCCACCACGACTGCAACCGCCTCAAGCGCTCGCTCTCGCTCAACCTGCGGCCGTCGGACGGCGCGCGGGCGGCCGCGCGCTCGCGTGGCGCCGCTTGCTCCGTGCGGAGCCCCACGCACACGGAGGAGTCCTCCAAGGTGTGCCGCCTGGAGGCCCCCGCCGCCGCGCCGGCCCGACCGAGCGCCGCCGCCGCCGCCTCTTCCGCGACGGCGGGAAAAACGACGCTCGCGACGACGGGCCCGAAGGCCGATGGTGGCGGCGGCGGCGGCGAGGACGGCGGGGTAGATCCGCTCGGGTCGCCCGGGGAGAAACTCAAAGCGCAGCTCTGGCTCAACCTGTCGGGCTCGACGCAGACCATGGTGGGAGAGAAGTTCTGGAGCCGGCGCTCCGACTTTGCGCAGCCGCAGCCGCCGGCGAGCACCCCCGTTCCGGCGTTCGGCGCCACGTGGTACTTCCCAGACGCGGCCCCTCTCAACGGGGGCGAGGGCGGCGGGGGCGGCGGCGGCGGCGGGGGCGGCGCCGGGAGCGGAGGAGGCGGAGGGATTTGCGGGACTCACGCGGACGTTCGGCTGCGCGTGGGCGCGCGCCCACGGGCCGGCGACAGCGGCGGCGGGGAGAGCCTGGCGGCGGTGGAGGGGCCGCGCAGGAGCTGGCACGAGGAGCTGGGCTCCGCTGCGGAGAAGGCGGCGTTCAAACGGCGCAGCTGCCAGCTGGAGTTTGAGGAGGGCCTGGCGGCCGAGAGTCGCAGCCGTGAGAACATCGCCGCCATCGCCAAGCGATCGAGCTTCTCGGGCAGCATGGAGATCATCGAGGTGTCATGACGCCGTGGACACCCGTCTTGGAGATCGTGGAAGTGTCGCGACGAAGCCGACAATGAACGCAGGCGATGCGATCGTTAGGAGAGACATAAATACGACGGCAACCCGGACACGCGCTCTGTCAGATACGACCCAAGCGCCACGAGTCCTGGAAGGAAAATTGATTTTGAATGTTAAATTTAAAGATGAGACGCTAATCGCATTATTTGGTTTTGTTGGCGGGAGGCGGCGGGGGGGGGGGTTCGTTAAGTATAAATTAAATGCCTGTGTATTTACCAAAAACTACATTTACTAGCAGTACATGGCAGCCTCCGGAAAGCTGTTTCTTTCTGAAAAGGCAAATGTTGAATTTCTGGTAGTAGGAAGATAAAAAAAATCCATTATTGTTTTGTAAATATAAAAGGTTTTTGTCTCAACCCCCCTGTTAAAAATTACGAGGATTTACCAGCATCGCCGAGTGATTGGTTCATCGTTTCTACCCAACAAACAACATGGATGACCGCCTTGAGTCACAATTCAAACTAAGAAAATACCCCCTTTCCCCTTCCAAACCACGCCATAAATTATTTGATGGTTCTGCTTAATTTATGACACGCAAATGCCCAAAATTGTACATATTGTTGTGTATATCTTGAAATGAAAGAGCAAGCGATGATAACTGCTCTCTCCAGGAGTTCTTGTGTTGACATACCTCAGGGTCCCTAAAGGGTTTCGACTTTGTGAGCTATTGGTTCAACACACGGATGATTTCATCAGGCTCAGGTTTTAATCTCGCATGTTGTTGTGATAAAGATGCTGAATCAAAGCGGGAAAGATTAAAGACTTAAATAAAAAATAAATTGCCTGAAATAGCTAGCGTAGTGGACGAGGGTGCACCCATCTTATTTATTGTGCATTGCTTAACGTACAGCATCGAAATGTAAAGAGGTCGTCGCATGGACACATGAGGGTCATGCGTGACAAGGGGGGATGAATACTTGGTCAGCTTGTAGTTTTATTCTCCCTATCTATCGACGGCTACAAACACGAACGGTCCATTCAGCTCGTGGCTGAAAGGCTGTTCTGATAAAACTCCAGTTATAAAATATTTCAGTTGCGTACTAATGTCATTTATATTGATATGGAAGAGCACAATGAGTGTAGAGCTACATGGTAGTGATGTGACACAGCAGCTTTGTAATCGGCAACTCATAGGATCAAGAAAGTGCTGAGATGAAGCTGGCTTGTGCTCGGTATATATATATTTTTTGCTGTCGATATTTAAAACTACTAAGCTTGCTTAGTACAGTACAGTATATAAAATTTAATCCTTAATGCTGATTTGCTGTTTATTTATAACAACTATTATTAATGCTTGTTAATTGTGCAATCACACGGTGGGTTTTTTTGAGCGCAGTGCCCCGTGCCTCGGTGCGGGGCCACGGGCAGCTCGCGAACGCCGCCGCGAGTGGAGGGACGGCGACGCAGCAGCAGCGACGAGATGACGCTCGCTTCTATTTAAAGGAAATGTATTCATGCTGGGCTTTTTTCAAGCATGTCGTATTTCCTACCAGAGGCAAAGTGGCCGTATCCGTTCCCTGTAATTTAAACTCCTCGTACCAGAAATGGAATGCCTTCTGGACAAAAAATAAAATTAAAACGTAAGTCAGATGTTATTGCTTTAACAACAACAACAAAAATCTAAAAATGTTAAAAAGCTAAACCGTACTTGTTCTACGCATTAAACATAAACGTCAATTTAAAAAAAACTCACGAATCGAAAACAAAAAGTGACCAAATCCTACAAGAAATGCCGCGCACACACAAAGTAACTCGCCCTTGCTTTTCTGAGACACGAGTGAGCAATCGTGCAGGGCTTTGCACTCTTTATGAAAAGTCTTAAATAACGATGAGCACAGGCCTGTGTCTGAGGCAGTGATGCCACGTGGAGGCGATGTACAAAGGTGTAAAAATGGCTACGGAGAAGTCCCGTAGCAAGTGTGGATAGTGGACAAGACATGCCACGCGTCCCCCATCTTACAGGAAGGTGCACAAGGCTTGAGTGTAGTTGGCTCTTACAATGTTGCATTAACTAGAAAACACAACTGCAGTTGTTCCACGCTGGTTACGTTTTTGTGGAGCCTTTGGGAATGTGTGAAACTGCATGCAGATACACAAGACGCAAATCAAATCGATAACGCGTGCGTCAGATGCATATTAATTAAGCTCCCGCTGGGCAATGGACCGTCTTGACTTACTTTTAAGCCATCTGCGCTGTGTAACTATGAATGGCAATGGACTTGTTTGACTGTGGTTTGACTGATATTTATTTAAGAGTGGAATTGTCTTTTTTTTCTCCTTTTTACGAGATCCGCTACACGTTGAAAATGAACTAAGAATAAACGAAGTTCTCTACAAACCGAACCACCGCGATCGATTCTCTCTCCTCTTTCCAGTGACGCACAAAGGGCTCGATCGACACCGTGAGCCCCAGTCCGAGTCGCACCCGCCTGCCCATTCTAGCCCTGCGTGCCCAATCACTTTATTTATTACTGGGTACGGGCCTTGTGGAAGGAATGCATCCACTGCAGATATGTAACAATGAAATCTGCTCGTGTGCGGGAGCTTTGGCGATGCAAGATCGTGAGAGGTGTAGACCGCTTGCTGAGGACTTCATTCGGCAGTGACGGCTTATATCGGTTGTGATTGATAGCTAAACTAGTTTTGGATCTCCCCTACACCACCCTGCACTGGCCAGAATGGTGAAGTGTTCTCAAACAACCCCCACAAAAACGTGGAATGGGGAGGGCTTCATCCAGGAGTAGATTAATAAATAGCTGTACATGTTTATCAATTATTATTAAGAGTCCATTGAGACCCCTTTTTCCAAGGGAGACTTTGGCCTAAATACAGAATTCACCAGATGCTAATTTATATCTGACACGATCTAGTGGAGACCTCTCGCTGGGGTACAAGAAGGTGTTTGTTGAAATCCACTGGGCTGTCCATCAGTAAGGCCTACTACACATGAGCCATTGACACCAATTCCTCTCCACACAAGACTCACAAAGTCCTGCCCGAAGCTGTCAGATGACTGTGAGGCTCAAATCAGTCCGTACACATGGTCAGCCGGCAGCCACTCCCCTCTATCAGCTTCGCTCACTTTGACATCGTCACGCCCACTCAATCACCAGCACCAAGGCCCCCACCTACTACTCTGCCAACCTATTCAAGGCGGCCCCCAACCGTTTGCCTGTATCATGAGTCTGGCATGAGGCCAGGAACATTAAAAAAAATGGGGCTAAATACCGAATCCCTAATTTTGACAAAGGCTTTCGGACAGGATAGTTCCGGTCAGACGAGGATGTTTGGTAGCTTTAGGTCCTGGACACGCTTGCACTGTTCGAGGCCACAGGCGAGTGGCTGGGCATTGGTGCATACATATTCAACAAAGCTTCATGTTGACCAAACAAATGGAGTGAACGGGGGGGGGGGGGGGGTGGTGTAGACGATGTGAACGAGCAATGCGTTTTAACCCATTCCAGTTCAGAAAAACGTCTGCAAGCTTCAGGGTGGATCCCGTTCACCGCTGAATCTCGGAACGCGCAAACGGATCAGCGCAGAGAACTGTAGCGACACGACCGCACTCTATGATAGCTGGCGCCAAACTGTGCCACATGCCCTCCCGCATGGCCTTTTACTTCCGATTCCCTTCCAATCGATTCCGTGCCGATGACGTAAACCGTACGTAATCGGAACGGAATCGGAAGAAAAATGTAGGACGTATGCGCACGTCATCAGAACGGGAAATTAAGTGCCAAAGAGGATACGCAAACACGGGCGTGACGAGCCTCGCTCTCCGATGGTGTTTTCAGGGATCATGGGTGGTAGAGCAAAACGTCGAACATCGTGCCGAAATTTTTCGATTTAAAGCTTTCGTGACTGCAGGGATTCATCTTCTTGGTTCTTTCGGTAAAGTCACGTAGAAGGGAAATAATAAAATAATAAAAATAAAACATAATAAAATTATTCTCACGACGTTTCGGCCACAACGCCAGCAACCGTCCTCAGGTGAAGAACAGGGCTGTCAGAAAGACAAATTTCATTCACCTGAGGACGGCTGCTTGCGTTGTGGCCGAAACGTCGTGAGAATTATTTTATTGGTTTATTTTTATTATTTTATTACTTCCCTTCTACGTGACTTTACCGAAAGAACCAAGAACATCGTGCCGAAAGCCGCACGGTAGCACAAACCGCGGGGAGCTACGGAGCAGTCGAAGTGCCTGTCCGTTGGCGGTGAGAACCCAAACACGACCCACGTTGGGCGTGTCCGACACTTGACGATGCGTGTGGGCGCGTACGGTACGCGTGCATCTCTCTCTCTCGTCAATCCACCGCTGGAGTCGAGCTTCTGCGCGACGTATGCGCGTCGCGGAAGTTATGTGACCATTCTAGATTTGAAGCTTTCGTGACTGCAAGGATTCATATTCTTAGGTTTTTTCGGTAAAGTCACGTTGGTAAAAAATTTTAATTAATAAAAGTAAAATAAAATAAGTATTTGATTTTATGATATTATTTTATTTGTATTTAACTTTTATTAATTTTACTTTTTTACCAACGTGACTTTACCGAAAAAGCCTAAGAATATTACGTGACCATACTTCACCACGCTCGTGGGTGCGGATTGCTGAAGGTGGGGAGCGTCAAATTCGATGGACTACCCAATGCTGTCCGCTGTCCACAACGTAGCCCGATTTCCATAAAGCCAGGAACACCTGTTATGCATGGCGGTCGTCCATCCAAGCACCATCCAGTTTGAAAAGCTGTTTGGTTTCCGAGATCTGACAAGATCCGGAGCATTCCGAGTGGTTTGATCATAGAGGCAGTAAATACGCCCGCAACTGTGCACCCGTGTATATGGAGGGGGGGGAGGGGAATCCTGTTGCACGAATGTTTAACTAAAGCCAACGACTGGGAGGACCTGTGCCAACGTCAAACAGCTGCCACAATACACCTGGTGGAGTCGAGCGCATTCAATGTGCGTGACACCGCATTGACGCGGCCCATAGGCGGCGGCTTTAAATAGCCCTCCTCTCAATACAACGGAGAAGGCGCCCAACCCCAGCCAAGGCCAAAAAAGCGTGGCTGCTCGAAGTCAACAAGCCCCCACGTGTCAGCCCTCGGCCACAGCGACTAACCTCACAGCTGTTTGGAGGATATGCTGCGGATGTTGGTTCCAATGCGCTTATTGTCCATAATGCTCTTATATACACTAGCCTATACCCCGTCCAAGGACGGGCGTATTGCAGTAAATCTGAAACTTGCAAGCGAAAAGCAGAGCGCAACGTCATATTCATTGCATCCATTCGTGTGAAATTTGTAAGGCCGCGGTGACACAGACCTATTTCATGTGAAGGTTATAATCCCGTGTTCATCATGACGTCCTTTTTACTTCGATGTCTCAACAGCGTTACGGAGATCACGTGATGACGTGAGGGTTCTGCCTTTGTAGTGAGGGGAGTGAGTTGACGCCGAGGAGGGGGGAGGAGGCGCCTCGCCCCCCCATGTGGAGTGACGTCACCCGCTAATTATTATGAATGAGGGGGGGGTCCATATGGAGGACGTCACATGTTCATGATTATTAATGGGGGGAGGGGGTGCTCCATGTGGAGTGACGTCAAACGCTCATGATTATTAATGAGGGGGGGGCATGCGGAAGACGTCACCTGTTCATGATTATTAATGAGGGGGGCTGGCCGAAGTGGAGTGACGTCACTCGCGTTACACACAAACAGACATTGGCTCATTATAGCCGTAATTCGTACGGAGACACTCCTATTATCCGGGACCCGAATATCCACGCTTCTAATGATCCATGCACCCAAAGTGGCTTGCGGAAAATCTTCGCACTCAAATTGATTTGCGGAAGAATCCGGCTATCACCGCATTGACTCTTTTTTTAAATCCTTTATATTAAGTTCGCTTGCTTGCGTGCTTGCGTGTTTGCTTGCTTGCTTACGACCGTGCAAATCTTTCGGTCGTTTTTTAACCCACTTCCCGTGATCCAATCGAGCTGACATTTTGCACACAGACTCGTTGTGCGAGACAATTAATGTTCGTGAATTTTTTTTCCAAAATTTTACACTGTTTAGGGAAAACAAATTAAATATTTAATTATCAATTGCTTAATGCTGGCACACAATCATCTGACCCATAGGTGGCAGCCATCTCAAGCCAGAGGACGAGAGGACTTTAGCCGCCACGCATATAAAGGATTTATAGTGAAAAACTTTGTTTTTACGGGTTATACTTATTATGTTATCTGCACTCATCGGCGGAAGAGAGGAGGCAACTTACAAGTGGTAGCACAATGCTGGAGCAATCCAATGAGCTATAAAGCTCTTTTTTAAAATCCTTTATATTAAGTTCACTTGCTTGCTTGCGCGCTTACGACCGTGCAAATCTTTCGGTCGTTTTTTAACCCACTTCCCGTGATCCAATCGAGCTGACATTTTGCACACAGACTCGTTGTGCGTGACAATTGATTTTCGTGAAAAAAAAAATCCTAAATTTTCCACTTCTTAGGAAAAAAAAATTAAATCCTTTATATTAAGTTCACTTGCTTGCTTGCTTGCGCGCTTACGACCGTGCAAATATTTCGGTCGTTTTTTAACCCACTTCCCGTTATCCAATCGAGCTGACATTTTGCACACAGACTCGTTGTGCGTGACAATTGATTTTCGTGAGAAAAAAAATCCAAAATGTTCCACTTTTTAGGGAAAAAAATGTATATTTAATTTAAAATACCAATGTGATAAAAATGAAACTCTTACTCAAGAAAAACAGAAATGAATAATAAAATAAAACCGATGCCACGCATATAAAGGATTTATAGTGAAAAACTTTGTTTTTACGGGTTAATTTTTTTACAGATGTCCAGTAGGGGCGGGTAAGAGCGTTACAAGAGACGTGCCACGGTAAAGGGGTCACCCAGCAGCGCTACATTCATCTCATCATCCACACTTTATCCCCGGATAAAAGGAGTTACTAGAAAATGTTCAAAGTTTATATTATCCGTGCTTATCCATGGACGAGAGAAACAGGGGACACACCAAAATCATGGCCATTAACAACAAGGGTGACCTGGAAATGACAGCAAAAACCATCCTGGTATCCGAGTTGATCCACGGATTTGGTCAACTCTTTCTTGCACGCCAGCCGGCCCATAAGAGGTGGGCACATCAACACTATAAAAACAAAGATCCTCCGTATAGCCTTAACAGGCTGTTGGGACAAGTGCTATTAACGAGCACCTATGAAGGCCGGCACGGCACACGAGGGGGTGGGTGGCCAACACCACGCCCGGCCGCCTTTGTCTCCCCAGTGGTGACGTGTACGTACTAAACCAGTTACTCATTTGAGGCTGAGTTGATCTCGGGGAGGCCCAGGACCGGTTTAGATATTTGTCACTGGTGTTGTCCGTGAGCGGGAATCGAACTCGGGTCTTCGGGTTCGTAGCGCAGCGCGCTAACCGCTACACTACCGCCCCAACACGATGCCCTACCTACCACACACTCTTCACCCCAAGGGTAACTTCCACTCTACCTCACTGGCCAAACATCTTGGAAGATGTGGCAGTACAGTCCTCACATTGCCCCCATCACACGGGGGACATGCCGATTGGCGAACTGTGGTTGGGAGTGGTGCCTCTCTGTTAAAAGAGGCTATTTACACACAAAGTGCCTGCCACACTAATGAACCACAATACTTTGCTGATATCGTCAAGGAGCATAAACCATCACGTGACTTCCGGTCATAATCGCAGCGACTTCTGGCGAATACATCGAACAAAGACGGTCACCGCATCGTACGCTTTCAAATGCGCTTTTGCGGCCGTCTGGAAAGCTCTTCCTTCCGATATTAAAACTCATTTCTTTAGAACTCCAATTCTTGTGCTTGGTTTGTTGTCCTTCCCCCATGGTTGGCTACGTACGGTGCGAAAGAAGTTTAACATACATACGCACCCATTTATAGTGCGGGGTGGACAGGGGCAGGCAGAGGGGACGCAACTTGCACCATTGTTTAAACTCAACGTAAAATGTGTGACAGCAGATGATGCATGTGAAGGGCGGGCAGATGTTCAGGCCGAACATGCCGTGCCAGTAAGCATGGCATAGCTGAGCTCACCCAGAGAGAGCGGCTGTTACAATCAAACTCTAAAGAATGTGCGACGCGATTAAAACCAACAAGTCACAGGGCTGGATTAACTGAAGCAACTAAAACGCCATTAGGGTGGGAATTCCAGAGGATGTGTCTGTTCAGACAATTGACTGAATCACCATCCCCCCCCCAACCCCACCAAGCAGTTGGTGAAACTGCCACGAGTTTGGAAATGTGACGTTCTCAGGATGACAAAACTTTCATTATGTTATTGTAACATGTATTAACCCAGGAAAGCCTCACATAGTCTCAAGGTCCTTTTTTTAGAACGGGTTAGGCTCGGTTTTTGCAGTGGAAGTGACGATTGCTCCGTGTTTTCTCCACTGAGTTATTTAGTTATTCAATTTGAACAATGACGCGGGTGGAAGACAATTGCCTACTCTTCTTAGGATCGCATCAAGGGATATTTTTTGAGAAAAACATGTTTTTTTTTTTAAAAAAAAACCCGCAATGACGCACACAACACGGAGAGGAGGGTGAACAAACTCGCGCGCGGGGAAACGTGTGAACGTAAAGGACATCATGGGATATTTAACATCCAATGTGAAGCACAGGGTGCAATATTTACGTTTGGTACACCCGCATTATTCACCAGGACGGCTACGGAGCTCGAAATGCAAACAAACCGCAAATGCGCTGACCACGAGGCAACGGCTGCCCCTTTACGATGCTAAAGCCTGCAACAAAAATAGTCCAAATGTATCCTTGAATGCAGTCATTCATTTTTTAAGTGGGAAAATGTACAAATTAACAACCTTCCTCGCACAATGTCCCGTTAATGAATTAAACATTTGCCCAAAAACATTATATTGGATTTCATTCTGAAAGAAAAAAAAAAACGTAATTTTTTAAAGTGCCAAATATTATACGTTGAAAGCTGTAGGGGGAAAGACATCTGCTCAGGTTTGTCACCACTCGTAAATGGATATTTCCGAGAAATAAAAAAACACACACAATTGCACGCACCTGTGAAGCCACGCTAACCTAACTACAAATTTTTTTTAGCGTGAACGGGCCCCCACATTCCAACAGCACGGTGGGGGTTGTGGACTTCCTGCAATGGGTGGGGGGTGGCGAGTGGAGATGGGGGGGAGTTTGGGTCAGGATTTGAGCCGGACACTTTTTTTGTGATGCACCAGCGAACCCCCATCGTTCCTATTGGGACAGCTTTTGCCAACAGCATCTGGACAACCCAGCAGCATTTGTGTAACAATTCTGTCGGTCGCCTAATGATGTTGGTTGTAATTACCGGTCAGATGTCGAACTTGAATTGTAAATGTTGTGGGTTTACTTTCCAACACACCGGTGTGCTGTACTGGTAACAAATTGGAATGTTTTGTTCACGTGACAAACCTTGCGAATTTGCTGTGTAGGGTGATGGCGGGTTTAACGACATTCATATTTACGCGATCTCACCCAAAAGCCTCTATTATGGATTGTGTAGCAAGCCTGCTGATGAGGACTAGGTTATAACCGGTTTAGTAGTTTCTTGTTTAACTCAAGGCTGCTGGATAATGCTGGTTTGGAACGCCGATAGGCCGATGTAGTAAAACTAAATATGTATATGTAGGGATGCAGAATGGAGTTCTGATTATATCTGCATATTATTTTACCCGTGATCCGCCATAACTCACGAGTTTATACAGAAACGAGAGACAAATCACGTGAAATGTGGCTTCTGTGCCACACTTATCGCGAGATTTCACACCCTTCATGAGAACTGTCGTTTTGTGGGATGTCACGGCTCATCCATATTGTTATACATATTTTGATGCAGATATGTATAACATAAATTACGGATACATATCACTAAACATTACACCAACATGAACACAGTGAAATTAAGGTTCAACCAAGCCCTGCAAAATACATATTTAAAAATAAAATTACCAATTATACGAAGCTTAGCACAATGTTTGCAATCCCACACACATACACAAAATGGCACACTCACTGCAAATTGTAACAGAATTTTATTTATTTAATTCCCAGACGATCACTTATTTAATATTTGAATAGAATCAGTGTCCGTTGGACTTTCAGAATGACCTCGTCAAGGGCTGCATGTCAGTCGCCTCCATGTTGTTCCCCTTGTAGGAAAAAGTCGCGTCGAATTATCACAATTGATAACTGTTTTGCCTGAGATGACTGTAAGTAACGTATTCAATGAGCTCACCTGTTCTTCGACTTCAGACAATCGTGCCTGCTGAGTCGGCAGTAGGAATGTGTAACGATCTATTGAATTTATATTTTCAACAAAAAAAAACTCAACACATTTGTCAAAACAACTGCCCTAAGTAAACATTGATATAATAGGTTACGTTACAGATGATGGCCCTTATTTGCAGAGAATGTTTGTGCTTGTGCAACAATGATTTAATCCACTAAAGTCAACTCTTGTGCTTACAGTACTGTACATGCATCGAATCATGTGTGTGAATGTACTATTCACGCAAATCATGTGAAAATTATACTCTTCAAATACATTTAGGCTAATGGAGTAAAGCAGATTTTCCAAATGAGAAAAAAATGGAAAATATAAAAAATAAGACAAAAAAGAATAGATTTTTAAAAAAGGAATTGCTACCACAAATCGTGACAATTTTTCAGATCGCCAGGTACGTAGCACCTGCTACAAACGTTACCTCCATAAACTAATGCACCCTAACATTTTCAATAGATCAACCCCTACAAGAAGCTGACCAACAGTGGCTTTTATATTGTGCGTGTTGTTGTTACCTGTTGTCCAGGTGGTGTTGGCAAGCAACTTCCAGCAGGGAAGGGCTTTGTTTACAAAAGTCAGTCCAGAGATAAGGGTACAGCCAATCCACAGAGGAATGCTCTGATAACGTTACCGCTAAACTATCTCCCCCCTCAACAACGACAACCAAAAATTGCGTAAGCTCGCCTTTTTTTTTCAGGAACTGATAACGAAAAGGATGTTGATGCGATTGCTTCAGGCCAAGACCTCGATTGTAAAATGTGGTAGAGCAAGTGAACTGAAACAAACGGCATGAGCCAGGTGCGGCTGATGGGGGGGGAGGGGGGGCAATGTGAAAGCCCTCGAGTTATGTTTGCAGCCACGAAGCTGGGTGACTTACGCACAGGCACTTCCAGCCATTGAAATCGCCGAGTTACTTGCTCAACAAAGAAATGACCCAGCCCTTGGACTGGCCCACAGGCAACGCCTCCCTCTCGATTACTGCTGCACACAAAAAAAACACAATGGACCACGTGGCTCCCCAGCAACTATTATAAAGGTAACATTTGACGTATTTTGTGATTTAATAAGAGCCTATAAATCAGACGGTATTTATTTAGTCGTCACGAAGCGTTAAAAAAAAACAAGGTGGAAATCAGCTTTTCACATGTGGACAGGCTTGTCTGTGCAAAACTCCATCGAATGGAATCTCATTTTATTTCAAAGTTTTACATTATTAGATCGCACATACACAACAATCTACCATTTACAGACACGGCCTGTGTTTCCTACTCCGTTGAAGACATTTTACAATTCTGCAAGCACACACTTATCCACTTTTCTTATTCAAGTGTCCTCTGTATAGCCGACTTCAGCTTTAAAGAAACTTAACAAAACACGGCTAAAGTAACTGCAGGGAATAGAATGACACAGTTCGCTGATGTAGGACTGGTCCAGTGTGTCTTCAACAGGACTGTGAATCTCAGCTCATAGAGAGAGAAACCAGCCTTTCTTTTTTACAAATGTGACATTTCAAGACCCCGCACCTGCTCCACTGCAGACAGGCTGAACTGTGTGGTCTCACTCGGCTCACTGCAAACACCGGCAGTGAAAAAGCCCACATGGAAACATGTTATTTTCCAGCTGATCATCCCAGGAGATTCACACCACCTTTGGTAACATAAGGCAGAGGGCTGGGAGGCAAAGACTCGTGCTCACTGTTCTTCCTTGCGCATAATTCGTGAACGCAACGGGATGTCGTCAAAAAAGCTACCGGATTAACTCGTCAATAAACCCGATACGATCAGCAACGTGAACGAAGATATCAAGCGGCCCTCATAAGGGCCAACATCAATGAACCATCGGGCTAATTCCACGTGTTTACCAAGTAAACGTCAAAGGCTCGTCAAGCATGCAAAGTACGACCAATGCCAGCCCTTTGTGGAGAAAAACAAGGAGCTCCAGTCATTAAACGCTCTGGTTGTCCTGCCTACTTAGCCAAGCAAGATATGCTATCTTGTAGGCCACTGTGTAATTGCCCAATCATTAATCTCTACTTTACACTATTCTCTCAATCCACCAGGGCAAGTGCGTCTTTACTTTCAGTATTCTCATGCCCGCGCATTCCACGGAACAATCCGAAATGTCAGCAAACACGGAGAGGAGTGGTTTTCAATTGCATCGAAAGTAACAAAGTGAGCTCACAAAGACTGGAGTGAGATTTTCCTGCAATAATTAGGAATCAGAGCGAGTTACTGGCTTCTGCTTTGCGTTTTGATTGCCTGCAAATGATAATTGGAATTTATACAGCATCTAAAATACATTTCTAAAGACGCTGGACAAAGCGAACTGATGTTTTTTTTAAACATTATTAATTTATAATGTTCTGGATGAACAGTGCGTGCTAGATTTTTGTTTAAAGTAATTGTATAAAACCATTGGCTCCTCCAATACGATTTCTACTCGTAAACCAATTCTGAAAGGTCGAAGTTAACGTTTCACGTCAATTGCAATGCACTGCAGCTCAGCAACAAACCCCAACGCATATACGTACAGTATGGAGGGCTGATTGAATTACGTATTTAGATCATCTGGACCATATACGTGATCACACCACAAAGGCCCCACTGTTTCGGAGTAAGAGGATCTCCGGCGTCTGCAAGCAAAGCAGGCGCACGCACGGGGCCGCTGATAAAGCAGCCGGGCGGTTCATTATCGGCGGGGGCCGCAATGCACAACGCAACCCTTGGACTCAAAAAGTCGTCGAGCCCAGACCTCCCCAGCCGCCATTCAAAAACACACTGAAGCAGTCTTCTTGGTTCGTTCGGTAAAGTCACGAAAAAGGGAAATAATAAAATAATAAAAATTTAACATAATAAAATACAATTCTCACGACGTTTCGGCAAGCAGCCGTCCTCTGACGGCTGCTTGCGTTGTGGCCGAAACGTTGTGAGAATTGTATTTTATTATGTTTAATTTGTATTATTTTATTATTTCCCTTCTACGTGACTTTACCGAAAGAACCAAGAACACTGAAGCAGCTTGGGAGCTTCGCTGTCAAAGTCGCAAGCACCTGCAGGTGCCAGCCACGGACATCCAAATGACGTCCATTAAGTACACACAAATGACCAATAAATTACTATTCTGAACGCCCATTCCCCCCCCCTCCCCCCTTCAGTGAAGTGTGACTATGTGAAGAGGTGTCAAAGTACAGATCGGTGGGATGCAAGACACCGGCACACTAAATGAATGTGCCGAGGTGCAAAGACATGCCAGAAAAGTTAGATGTTTGGCACATGACAGGAAAACTAAACTATTTTTTACAAACTATTTTTATGTTACCAGGTAAGGCCCACTGAGCCATATAGATATTTTTCTGAAGCGACCTGGCCACAAATGATAGCTCAACAAAGTGGCGTATCATCACGTGTACATTTACAGCAGCCAAACACTCCAAATGCACGTTTCGTAGACACGCGACAGCAGGAGACACAGACCCGTCGGGGATCGGCTGAGCGGACAAGCCAGAGCGTGGTGAGACGGCCGGGTGGGCATGCGTACTGCGTACTTATAAAACAAGCGAGATACTGTGACGGAGAGAAGGGAGGGGTGTAAGCGGGCCTAGTTTAATGTGCTGCTGGCAACATCAGGGGGAGGTGTGGCCCTGGGGGGTGTGGGCTGCAACGAGAAGGGCTCCAAACGCTCGGACTCAGGGAGTAGCGCGTTGAGCCGCTCCATCAGTGGCAGCGTCTGGTCCACGCCCATCTGGATCTTCCGCAGGAGCGCAGAGATCTCTCCCACCTTTCGCAACAAGAGGGCATTGGTGACAGCGGCACTGTGATGACCATAACGGCAACAATACAGAACATGAATGTAGTGCATGTCTGGTGGAATGCGCTGTGTGGCTCAAGCACCCAGCGTCAAAGCTTGATAGCTCGGGGCAATGATAGGTCAAGGCAGGGCCCACACACGCACAGCGAGAACAATAATCGAATAAACAAAATGAAATATCGCCATATCACTACTTTGTTTATGACCATTTGTGTGAGCGATGAAAACATATCCCATCACTGAAATTCACAACCAACACGAGGTGAGTTTAACAAGGATAACTACATAAACGGAAGGAAATTAACGTTTCAACAAATGGATTTGCATTACCATTCAATAATATCACCCTCTTCATATGACCTACACACTGCAAAGGCAGGTAGGTAATGGCCAGGATATACACCCGGCACTTGTCAATGAATGTGAGCGAGTGCATAAATGGGCTCTCACTTTTTTAACCTGCTCGGCGTAACGTGCAAAGCGCTTCTGTCTCTCCTGCATGGAGGCGTAGAGAGTGCTGACCTCCCCTTCCACCTGGCAGAGAGGATAGCACAGCGAGCAACTGTTAGATAATATCTGGATTAAAGAAAGAAAAATTTCCAATCAAAACCGATTCATCGATGCACGCCAATGGTTGAATCACAAACAAGCAGCCAACATCTTCTTGGTTCTTTCGGTAAAGTCACGTAGAATGGAAATAATAAAATAATAAAAATAAAACATTTAATAATTCTCACGACGTTTCGGCCACAACGCAAGCAGCCGTCCTCAGGTGTCTACTCGACAGACCTGCTCTCCACCTGAGGACGGCTGCTTGCGTTGTGGCCGAAACGTGGTGAGAATTATTTTATTATGTTTTATATTTATTATTTTATTATTTCCATTCTACGTGACTTTACCGAAAGAACCAAGAAGATGAATCCCTGCAGTCACGAAAGCTTTAAATCGAAAGCAGCCAACAACCATTGAGCTCGTTTGAATGTTAGTGAGGATACGTAGCATGCACGTCGCGTGGTCGACCTCGCACACCACCTCTGGGATCTCATGTTTATCAATGACCATATTCTTGAAATGTGCATCGTGTAATTTGCATGTGAATGAAGACGACCGGTCAATGAGATAAAACTTGGACCTTGGTACGGCCAAGGATTTGTGAACTGCCGGCTTAAACGATTCATACGCGCGGAACACAATCCCCCTTCATCCAAGATTCATCGTGCCATTTACACCTCCGCCTTTATCTGTGGTGGCGTGCGTTCATTTAAATTCACTCCGGGGGATCAGAGAGAGAACAAAACGTGGTAAAAGCTACGAGCAGGATGTCAGACCAATTGTCCTTAGCAACCCCAAGGCTGCCCTTAACTGGCTTACACACAATTCCCTGAACACTGCGATTGAACATAATAGAGTGGCGTTGAGCCTGCTTTACTGTTTTATTCTTTTTCCATGTGTGTTTTGTTTCGTTTTTTTTTGTTCACAACCGCCAACACAACCCCTGCAGCTACAACAAAGTAGGGGCTAATGTCAAGATTGGCTTTCGGAAGCGGGCACCCAACACAGCACTCGGAGAAAGAGGAACAACTGCCGTGTGTTCGACGGCACACCCCGCCTCCTCACCTGTGCTGCCACACAAACACTACCTCTGCATGTCTAACAGTTGTCTCAGGTACCCCCCCTGACACGTCAAAATCAGAATATTTATTCTTTACCGGAGGAATCCGATGAGCTATAAAGCTCTTTTTCACGCAAAAAGACGATAGGAGTGTAAAGTACAAACAAGGTACACAAATCACCCATATATACATATACACATTCAAATAAAACACTAAGCCATCCTCATCCTACCAGACAAAGCCCATTGAGGCTTTCAGTATTTTTTCAAAAGTGACCTGGCCACAAATGATAGCTCAACAAAGTGGCTTATCACGTGGACATTTATGGCAGCACAATCATCTAAATAGTCTTAAACGCACGTTTCTAAATGTGGAGGGAAAAACCGGAGGACTCGGAGAAAAAATCCACGCGACGACGGGGAGAGACACGCAAACTCCAAATATACAGGCATCAGGGTCGGGATCAATGCCCTGACCTCTTGCATAGCAGGTGAGGGAGTTAACATCTCGCCACCGTCCAGGGGTTATGGAAAACACTTGCAGCTCCCACAACCACCCCCCATCCCCTTTCAACCCATCGCCAGACTACGAACGTTAGACCCCCCCCCCCCCCCGTAAAAAAATATGACACAAACACACTGATGTCAGTTGGATACGTTTCAACAGTGACGTTTGCTCCAAACGAACGCACATCGATTGGTAGGTACGGAGCGACAAGCTACAGGCAAACATTCTCATAGGCTATGAAGCAAACCTTTTCTTTTGATAACTGTCCAAATGAAGGCATGTTCTGTGCATGTGTATACATGTAAAGCTTGTAATAAATTGCCTGGTTCAGCATTAAACGTCAGTCAACATGACAGTTATTTCACACAATAACAAGGCGAGTGGAAAATGTGTTTTTCTGCACGCTTTGCCCTGCAATGACAGGCCCATACGCTTTCAGTCGCTTTACCCAGGTACCACAATGTGAGCAGCAGAGGGCAGTGCAGCCAAATCCACTGTTGTGCTGTACTTCTATGGTCCCACGTCCATGTTCCACACCCTCACCAACCCATACTGACCAGCGTGGTGATGTGTGGTCAAATAAACCCCCGTGACCTACAGAGTGTGGCCCTCATCCAGCAGGCGTTTGCTTTAAGTGTACAAGATGCCATTGTTCTATTTTATTGCAGCTTTCAGCCTCTGGCCCCAGTTTATTTAAACTCACATCCACTTAGTTCAATACACGTAGATACATAATATACCATATATGTCGTACATACATCTATATATTCATACACAAAACCAAAAAAAGCACACCTGACAATGGAAACACACATTTATACCATGCACCCGTCTATAATAGGTTTAACACAGAACACCTTAATCCGTTTATTACCACTGTATGGCGGACAAAGCGTAAGCAAAATAAGTTGAGCATCGGAAGTCAAAAATGCCAATACCTCCCAAAACAACATGTTTTGTTGTCGCAATCTATCACCTGAACCTTCGCAATCACAAAATGTATGTATGCTGAACTTCTTTCGCACTGTACGTAACCAACCGCGCTCATCAGAGGTGTGGGGTAAGAACAACAAACTAAAAACGAAAAAAGCAGTTCGAGAGCAATTCGTTTTCAATAGAGATTTAAAAGTGCGTAGCTCAAGCGGCTTCCTAATATCGCAAGGAAGAGCGTTCCAGACGGTCGCAGAAGCGCATCTGAAAGCGCGCGATGCGGCGACCGTCTCTCGATGGCTCGACAAGAGCCGCTGCGAAGATGACCGGAGTTCGCGTAATGGTTTATGCACCTTGACGAGAACAGCAAAGTATCGTGGTTCATTTGTGGCTAGCACTCTGCGTGTAATGGGTGCGACCTGATAACAATGTATTTGTTCGGCAACTGGAAGCCAATGCAGCTCGCCGAACACAAGCGGCTTTCTACGTACAGGCCGGACTGCCTTTAAAACAAGCCCTAGTGTCTCTCCCTTTGCGCACGTTTCCTCCAAAGCTGTAATTACGGACACAGTTGCCATGGGGAGCGCACTTATATACACGTTCTGCCAAGGTGACCGTACCGAAAAAAAACCCACGCCGGTGGGTCTCGGCTGCCGCCCCCCCCCACCCGCCGCCCCTCTCGACACGGCTTAGCCGATTACGATTGCCGCAAAACGTCAGGCGGCTCGTAAACGAGCGGAGAAGATCGTCGCGGGTGCCGGCGGAGTTAAAGCCTCGCTTTAATTTAACCCGGCGCGGCCATTACGCCAACGCTGCCAACGGTTCTCGAATGATTAACGGGTTGCAACCGCTATATATTTAATTGCTCAAGTTCAAAGTCTGCGTCGGGATCTATTTGCTACCAAACGCCAATAAAGATTACCCGTCTGGATGCTTTCAGCGTTATTCGGGTTTTAACACCGTTAAGGCCTCGGTCAATTAAATGCGGAAATTTACAAAGCTTGTTTTAGTTAAAGAAGAGCCAATTCTTTGCGTAAAGCTAATAAAGAACATGCGAGGACATGGGGTGGAAAAACATAAGTGACTTACCACATTGTGTCCTTGCTGCAGAGCATGTGATACATATGGGTGAAACAATTGCACTGAAGAAACGAATAAAAACACATGAGACTACAATTAAAAAGCAATCTATACCTCGTGTTTCTTGGCTGGCTGCTGGCTGGGTTCCTCTCCGCCCCAACAAAAGCTCTGTTGTTAGTGGCTGCTGCGGGGCCGTTGACACCAAAAGCAGCCGGGTAACTGGCTAGATGGGATTTTTCGTGCAACAAATTATTTTTTAATTGAACATATAATATACAGCGATACTGAAGAGTTGGAAGTAATACAGAAAACTGGCATGGTTCAATTTAAATTGCTCTAACTTTTTAAATTTGTGCTCCTATTCATATTAATAGTCTTTAAATCAGAGAATATTAAAACTAAAAACTCAAAATACGTATTATCTTGTCATTTATTACGTGACAAAGCAGATTACTTTCGGTGCTCCGCGTTTATGATTCTGAGAAAAATATGTAAATTACAGCCGTCTTATTTTCCGCGGCACAGTAACGGGTTCTCTGCGAGTGCAAATACATTCTATCAGCCACACTCGTGCTCACAATTGTTCTTTTCTCCACTGTCACCTGGTTTCCAATCACAAGTATGGTAAATAACTGAGCTTATTCAAATCAATGTGTACGTTAAGTTATTTACCGTGTTCCAATGAGGAATTGTGTGTTTAATAACGACCACCAGCTCTGCATGAAGGTGATTCGCACATTATTTTCGAGTTTGGTCCTCATTGGCCCTGTATGAGAGTAAACGTCATCTGTTGTGTATCTCGTTTTTTTTTGTATCCAAAGGTTTCAAAATGCATTCATCTGACCAGTATAAAGGTCCGTGCGAGTTTTTATCCTGTTTGCAAGTAGGATGTCTTTTTTGGATGTATATATTTCCATCCATGCTATTGATTTTCCAAACTAATTTTTACGTAAATAAATGGAACTTATCCTGTCCGCGAGTACATTACGTTTTTTACGGACGGAATTATGAACTCAAATCCGTCATATCGATTTTCCAAACAACTGCTATTTGAATAAACGGCACTTATTCGAAAATAAATTGAAGTGGTAACCCATGTCGATACTGTAAATCTAAGTTTACAATGGGGTTAATACTATTCCTGCTTTCATTGATAAGTTTACAAATGTTTATTAGGCGCTTGAAGCTAAATGCAGCCAAGACCATGGTCTCCACATTCTACCGTTGAACAATCCCAAGGCCACTAAACCTCTCAATTTAATATTCTGTCATGCCCCTCTCGTACACGAATTCAAACCAAAGTACCTAGGAGACACAACAGATCGGACGCTAAATTATCACCAACACCTTGAAAACACCAGCAATGAGGCGAAGTCCCAGGTAAAAGCATTGTACAGAAGCTAG